CTTTAATCAGATTGCTTTACATTTGGGTAACATAGATCACAAGAGTAGCAACAGCCAAATTTAAAGTACTTTTATCCTGAAACACTGTTTAAATTGCATTTCTAATATAATTATACCTAAAGAAATATTTTCTCAAGCAAGCTTGGACCCACATACTAAATTTCAAGCAAGAAGTGCAGAGAAAAACTATCAAAAGACACATACACACAAAGACACACAGACACACACAAGATCTAATAATTAATTGGGACCATGGGAAGAAAAATTGACAGGATCACAAAAGTTGGTTTCAAACTCAGCTTGGTTTTGAGATAGCTTTAGGATAATCACAGCCTACTGGAGCAAGACCAGCTCACCACAAGACCACTGTGGTCTTAGGGGCTCTATGTTTATTAGTCTTTTGAGGAACCTCCATGCTGCTATCCAAAGTGCTTGAACAAGTTTACACTCCCACCAACAATGCAGTAGGGTTCCCTTTTAGCCACAACCCCTACAGCATCTTTGTTATTAGAGTTCTTGATTATAGCCATTCTAACTGGGGTGAGGTGGAATCTCAATGTTGTTTTGATTTACATTTCTTTTATGGCTAGAGAAGTTGAGCATTTCTTCCTGTCTCTATTGACCATTCTTATTTCCTCTTCAGAGAAGTCTCTCTTTAAGTCTTTAGCCCACTTGTTGATGGGGTGGGTGGTTCTTTGAGGATTTGTTGTTGGGGGAGTTAATTTTTTGAGTTCTAAGTATATTTTAGATATAAGCCCTTGACCGTTGTATGGCTAGTGAAGATTTTCTCCCAATCTGTGGGCTTTCTATTGATCTTGCTAGCTATGGCCTTTGCCATACAGATAGTTTAGCATTTACTAGGACATATGGAAAAAAGCTCTGTCCAGTTTCAGAAACACAGAATCTTAAACTGTTGGAATGATTTGCTAGTAAGAGCTGAGTTGTGACTCAGTCATTTGGTATTACATTAGAAAATCCATTAGGAGGGCTGGGAAGGTAGCTCAGCGGTAGAGTGCATGCCTTGCAAGCATGAGGCCCTGGGTTCGATTCCTCAGCACCACATAAACAGAAAAAGCTGGAAGTGGCGCTGTGGCTCCAGTGGTAGAGCGCTAGCCTTGAGCTGAAGAGCTGAGGGACAGCGCCCATACCCAGAGTTCAGGCCCCATGACTGGCAAAAAAAAAAAAAAAAGAAAATCCATTAGGAAATAAATGATAGGAAACAATTTAGATGAATGAGGTTGAAATTATGAAGTTGCCACTTGATTTAAAACTTATAGATGAAAAAGATATGTCCACTGGCTAAAAAGCATAAAACTATGTATCTTTATAGGCTGACAAAAGATTTCTATGGCTTAACTTTGTAAGCTTTCATTTGTGAATAAAGAATTTTAAATTACATTTATTGTACACTTCTAGTACAGACCTAAAAGATTTAGACAAATAAGAGTCTTTGAGCATGAACCAAGATTGTGCACATGAATTCACCAGGCAAAAATAAGGCAAGAGGAAAAAGGGGAGAAAAACAAAGAACAAACAAACAACAACAAAAACAAGGCAAGAGGATGAGCTGGAGATAAGGAACAGAATTCTGAAAGGGACAAGGATTTAAAACATAGTAAAGCATTTGGAGAGTGGCAAGTCGCTTACACTGGTGGCATGTTAAGGTGACTACAAGAGAAGTGGACAGGATAAAAATAGCTAGCTCATGAGGAGCCTGCAAATCTGAATTTATGCAGTTTGTAATTCATCTTGGTAGATAAAGGAAAGAATTCCAATATCATTGTGTGTTACATAAGGAACGTTGTTGGTTCACAACAGGATATTGTTGAAGGTTATCTTATGTTGAAAATGAAAGTTTGGAATCATACGGAACAGTTCTGCATTTTTTTATTTCAGGTACTAGTAAAATGTGTGTGTGGGGGGGGGGGTATTTTTTTGCCAGATCTGGGGCTTGTACTCATGGTACAAGTGGTCCCTGAGCCATTTTGTAAGGCTAGCTCTCTACTACTTGAGCCACAGCACCACTTCTGGCTTTTTCTGAGTAGTCAATTGAAGATAGCTCTCATGGACTTTCCTACCTGGGTGGCTTTGAACTGTGATCCTCAGATCTCAGCCTCCTGAGTAGTTAGAATTACAGGCATGACCCACCAGTGCCCAGCTGAAAATGGATAAAACTTTGGTGACATGATGACTTAAACATAAAAAATACCAAAATTCCTAATATTTGTCAGTTGTGTCTCCTTAAGAAAACCATTTGAGCATATTTAAATACTGAATCACCCACTTCATTGAATTTGTCCTTAAGAATGACAAATCTGTAACAATGAAGTCCTGTTTCTTCTGTACTAAGCCTCTGAAGAAGCAGAACTAGTTTCAAAGGCTGATGGGAGCTGAGTGTGGAATCTCCACGAAGGTCAGGGGCTGTCATTTTATAAGTACTGGCTCAAGGGAGTTGTGGAAGCACAGTGCTTATTCCTCCTCAGATGGTCCCCTTCCCAGGACCTCACAATGGACCTTACACACTCCCAGATGAGCCACGAACATGTACAGCCAACAGTGTCACTCTGTCCTGATGTGTCCATTCTCTGAGCACATCCTTTTCTGAGGCCAATAACAGGAAATGGGCAGAGGCCTGAGCTGGCTACAATGCTTTCTTACACCACTCTCTCTGAAATGCCTAACCGATTTTTATTTTTCTTGTTTTCTTAAGTTCAAGAAATGAAAAGTACTCAGTCAACTAAACTGCAAGGGTAAGGGGTCTGACTCTGCCTGTCACTCATTCCTAGCCAAATTCCTTCAGCTAAGTCATCTGGGCCTCAGCTTGCTAATGAATTCTGGCATGGTTATTCGGGGCCACGTGGAGTCAGATCGGTGAGTTAAAAAGGTGGCTCTGGCAACAGCAGGCCAGACACTGGTCAGCAGAGGCAGAAGCCTCAGTCTACCTAATCATAGCCTGCTCCAGTGCTGCAAAAACAAGTGAAAGCTGGACTGAAGTTGGGTGGAGGAATGGAGAGAAACTACAGAGGATGGCAGGCTTTGGGGAAGAATGGCAGGAAGGCCATATGTATCATGCAGAAGCAAACAGAACAGTTAATCTCATTATTTAGTCTATGTTATTTAGAAGAATGGGACTTGGGAACCAAGGAGTTTGGCCTTTTCAGAGTTCTGGTAGATATTCACAATGTAAATCTAAGGAATGTTCTATCAATTTACCATTTCAGCCACAATATCAGATGCAGCAGAATAAAACGGTTCCTGACACTAGAGACAGTGGGTTCAAATTCTAGCTCTGCCAGATAATAGCTATATGATTTTGGAGAAGTTACTATAAAACTCTATGAAAAGCTGGCCAATTAAGTATTATTAGGAGGCTTAAGTAAGTTATTATGAGTAAAGGGTTTCTGTTACTCAGTACACTGTCTTCAGCTCAATGCTTGGCCTCTAACTTCCATTTCATAAACATTATTTTCTATCTTGTCTATCTAAAAATCAGTGTTGAAGAAGTACAAATTTACTTTCAAAGATGGGGACTCTCAGCTTCCTTTTCTTCTTGCCTTTACCATTACCATTACTATGCTGCATAGATGGTTGAACAGAAGAAACTGCAAAAGCAAAAGAGAAGCAAACATTCTTCCCTAAGAGCACTCCTGATAGAAAGGCAAAAGGCAGTTGCCAGGCCCTGAGATATTCTGTGGCTCAGCCTTTGGAAGACCACAGCCATTGCTTATAAATAGAATATTAAACCAAGCAAGAGCAATTTTCTTCTTTCGTCTCCCCTTATTGCCTAATTTTCCTCTCATATCATTTGCATAATGGATAAAAAGGCATCCATTATGCAAATGAGCAATGGGGATGTAATGTTGCTGAAGCCACAAGCCTGGCTCTAGAAGAAGCCCAGCTGCCAACAAAGCCCTCCATCGTCCCCATTGGCCAGACTAGATGAAGGAAAGTCCTGAAGACCAGAGGTCATCTATTCCCATTTGGTTGGTTAATAGGGACACTACAGATGTTTTGCAAAAAAAAAAAAATCAAGACAAAATATAATTACAAAACAGAAACCATACACAAAGTATAGCCACATGTAAGATCCACTTAGCATCACAGATTTTATTTCAAGTGGGAGATCCAATTCCATGGATCATTTTATAATTTTAGGTGCACACTTTTCATTAGAACCTGTAAAATTTCCTGTGCAAAGTAAGAAATGCCTCTGTCCTTTTACTTTGAGAATCAAACTCTAATTAAACTCTAATCAGAGCACCGAGTAATTGCAGACTGTCCTATGCATGTTCAACAGGAATAAAAAAATTGTTTTATGTACCAAAATATTAGTGGGCTTTCCCGAAACTTCATGCTGTTGAAAGTAAACACATCCTAAGAGGTACTGCCAAAAAGGGATGTTTCTTCTGGAATTGTAAATTGACTGAAACTTTAAAAACCAATGGTTATTTTGTATTTCTACAAACAACCTCAAAATAAATAACATGAAAAAAAAATCTGAGCAAAGGCTCCAGCTGAATGGTTCTTGTTTGAATGAAGCAGCAGGAACAGATTCCAAAACTAACCTTAAAATATTTTCTCCAAAGACTGAAGTAGATATTGAAAGAAAAAAGACAATGGCTAAAAAAAAAAAAAAACCTTTATTTCCTGTCTGGGCTCCATTTTAACCCTTAGCTTTTTCCAAATGACATTTTTTTTAGAACTTTTTCAAAGTGGTCCTTATAGACTAGAAAGAGGAACCTCATTATTTCAGCCTGCCCTGCTCGCTCTTCCCATGTTATTTCAAGAGCTTGCAATCCAGATTCACCTTCAGTTCAAAGAAATAAAATTGCATCTATTTACCTGAGCCCCAGCTGTTGCAAAGAACTATATTAAAATAATTCAGAAACAAGACAGATAAAAAAAATCCCAGCAGCATCGAAGTCATAAAGAAGTTATATAGTCAACAACGTGACATATTTTCAGCTAAGTGAAAAGCGTATCATGGAAAATGCACGTACCTAATTTCAGAGCAGAAGGGGTTACTTCAATTTCTCCACCAATTGGTTTGAATGCAGCCAGTTGGGCAGCCACTTCTGTCTCAAAAGCATCTGGGCTCTGTCGATCGGTGGGGTTTCCACTGGGGCTCTCAATCTTGTGGAGTGGTTCTTGTTCGTCAAACACAGCAATCAGCTGCAAACAAGTCCAACAACACTAATTACTTTGTAGGACACGAATATCACAGGGTCTCCCTATCTAACTGGTTGTGATCTTTATTTGGTTTTAGAGAAAATGGCCACTTCAAACTTAAAACTTTAATGGTGCTGTACCACAACTCTTAATTCTTCAATAATATTATGTATATAAGCACCATGGCTGAAACATAATGAGCTGGTTTGTTCCTTTGTTTATTTTATCAATTCCTGAAATACAGAGCCAATTTTCGTCAACTCTCTTAATGGAATGAATTGTCTGCCCCCCGACCCTCTGACTTTTTCCACATTATGCCTAGAAAGATTTCAAGACTATTCCCAAAAATGAAAGTGGAATATTCACAGGTTTACATAGCATACATAAACATTCCAGTCTCAAATAGTTAACATAGCCCTGTATGGTACACACCTGTAATCCCAGCTACTCAAAAGGATTGATGGTTTGAAGTTAGCCTGGACAAATTTAAACTCATCTGAACTAATATGCCAGATATGCCTGGTTTGGACCTAGGTAGATCCAGGCAAAAAATGTGTAACTATATTCAGAAAACCACTAAGCATAAAAGGTTGAGGCAAAGTGGCTCAAAGAGTGGGGCATTTTTCTAGCAGGCTTAAAACCCTCAGTTCAAACTCCAGCACTACCAAAAAGATAAAAGAAAGCGTTAAGACATACTACAAAATACCTGGTGACAGCTATCTTTCTAGACACAATCTAAATCCACATCTATGTACAAAAGTCCAGCCTGTGTGTTAGTCTTGTGTATGAAAGTATTGCACATTTTGCATATGCTCATTGCATCATTTTTCTTTTCATGCCAACTCCACATTGATCCATTTCAGAGTCCCATGAGACTCAGCATCAGCCTTTTGAACCTCATTGTTTCCTGTCCTCATCCCCATTTTCTTTCATAGCATGGAAATACTGATCACTAATAAAAACATGAATACCATTTCCCAGTTGTTTTCCATTTCTCAAATGAGAGACATATTTCAAAATTCTAGTCATTTGCAGCCACTCCCCTGTAACAGGAAGGCGGCCTCTCTGAGACTGCACCGAGGGCCAGCAGACAGCACTGACTCAGAGAACACCAAAGGTTATGCATCAGATGATGCAGAAAAGTCCAAGTCTGAGCGCAGGTGCAGCTCAAGGATGCCATTGTCAGTCCAATGAAGTATGGTGCGTGTAACTTGGAAAACGGCTCATAAACCTTTAAATATTTTTCATTTATTAAATAAAACAAACCTACTTATGCTTCAAACATTTATTCAGGAAAGGCACTCAAAGCTCCATTCACAGGGGAGACTCACTGGCAATAGTATTAATAACACAAGTACTGGGGTAACCAATCAAAACATCATAAATTCTGACTTCACTCTTTCAGAAGAAATGAACACAATTAGGGACATGTAAATTGGCTATTCAAAAATAATTTTCATAATTGACTACTCATTTCCAGTATGGAAACTTCTTTAATTGGAAAATCCAGCAATCCTCTCACCACAGAAAAGAAATGCTTACTCAAAGCTATTATTTTTAATTCTTAAATCAAGCCCGTGCATTTCTCTGTCTTTAATTACTAGCACTGGTAAACTGACTTCAGATATGAATAAAATGGATTAATAATGAAAGATTATTCTAGTATAAAAATAATTAGTACAACTATGTCTTTCTAATCATCTGGTCAAAATGAAAAGTGGAGTACCCTAAATTCCAGAAAGAAAAAAGAACAACTTTGAAAGGGTGGCGAAAGTGGCTTCATCATTATTCCTATTTCACAGTTAGATTTCAGTTTTGCAGATTGATGAATTGTAACATATAGTCATAATATTCATTTTGTTACACAAAATAGGCAGTGCCATAGTAGACTGGTACTATAAAAACAAATCCCTTACTTCCCTCCCTTCCTACACCCTTAATGCTGAGTAAAATCCATGCACTTCTAATATCAAGGAAATGATGAAATGACAGAACATCAATCAGTTGTATAACACAAAAGCTTGAAATACGTAACATTTAAGAAATTATTACCTACATTTTTCTTAATAAAATACTTTGCTGTTCTCCATATATATGCATACAAGCTTATAGCCATACATAGTACTAATATCATAACTATTTATCAAAGAGGAGAACACAGTAGTTTGGAAAAGTGTGTTTACCAAAGTTATGGACTTAGTGGTTTCTCCTGGAAAAATGGAGTCTTTTGATTGTCATCCCAAGGTTTCAGATCACATTGTAACTTGTTTTTCCAAGAAGATAATTCTACAAAGAGAAACTAATTGCACACTAATTTTGGTTTGCGCATGAAGGTCTAATACACACATACACACACACACACACACACACACACACACACACACACACACACACACACACACACACACACACACACACACACACACACACACACAGACTGAGAGCTCTACTTTTTGGAGATACAATACCAGAATCTTCTTGCTGATGGTAACAGAGGGCTTGGATGCTTCCCAAATCTCATAATCTCTTTGATTAATTAATTGCTTAGCCTGTCTTCCAGCCCCATAGTTGACAAGAATGATCACAGCTGAGCCTGGATGAGTGGATGAAATGAAGTCTCTCCTCCTGGGAAGAAGGGGTTCAGCTCCTAAATCTGTGGTCCCCCAGCAAGTCACTGGCTGAGAAGATAGACTCTTGCCATCTGGTCTGCTTCACAATATCCACAGACTCACCCTTGCTCCAACACTTATAATTAATTTAAATCATACACTGCAGTTCCTTGTTAACTAGATTATGCCATTCATCAGGACACCTACATTACTGGCTAGTATTCTTCCCTGACAACAGTGTGACAGAGATAGTTATTATCATAAACAACCATTGTGGTCCCTGAATAAGAACTCTGCTGCATTCCAAGGCATCCAGATCCTGGAAATGGTCTTTTCTCCCTGCCTGCAACTCCATTCCCATACAGATGAGTTGGAGATGAAAGTAAGAATTCCATTTAAGAACTGACTTTTATGTTAAACTTTCACCTAGAGTGAAAAAAATCTATGGCATGTGGGAAAGTTTCCATAGACCCCTTATGGGCTGCAGGAAACCAAACCCTACACAAAACACATTGGGGTGGTATAGGACATGGATGAACTCCTCCACTGCTACTCTGCTCATCTTCTGGCATGACCTTGGGCTCCTTTTCTGATGCCAATGCCTCACATCATCCAATGTCACCCCGGTGTTTCCCTAAGAGCCCATAATCCAAAAATATCATCCTAGACTTACTTCTAGTCAAAGCTTTTGTCCTCAAACACATCTGGGAATATTTAAGCATCTAGTCTCCAGCCACACACAAGAAGGTCAGGGCATAAAAATGCTATTAATTCTTCTACCAAACAAAACCAAAAGATACCCCAGGACCCACAGAACCTTACAGGTGTCACCCTAGCTCTTGCCGACTCTCAGGGAAACTTTAAAGAATTAACCATACCACAGTTTCCAATCTCTCTTCTCTCATTCTTCACAGAAGCCTCTCTTGTTAGGTTCTCATCCCTATACTCATTGAATATGCTTTTATTCAGGTCCAAGCAAGCACTGGATTCCTAAAGCTAAAGATGTCTTATAATTTTAGAACACAGCTCATTACTTAGTCACCCTCAAAATCCTTTTCTCATGAGCTTTCCAGGACACCACTCTCTTGTTTCATCTTTTTAACTTTATGGGTCCTCTGTTAAGTTTCCGTTAGCTTATTCTTCTTCATTGCCTGTATTTTGCCTCTAAACTTGATAAAGACCATATGTCTGAATTTGATTAGTGATCTCATTTTTTTCATGCTTATATATATAAGCATAGGATGATAAACTCTAAATTGAAATCTGCAACCCAGGCCTTCCTCATGAATTTCAGGCTCATGTAGTTAGTTTCATAACTTGTCAAAAACTGAACAACAGATCTTTCAAATTCTTTCCTTTGTCTCTTGTATCCCAATTAATTGGAATTCATTTTTCCAAATTGCTCAGGCCAAAATGCTTCTTGTCATTTTTCTCTCTTCTTACTTCCTAGCTCTCTCTTCCTCTTTTTTCTATTCTTTTCTCTCTAGTTATTTCTCTCTCCTCCCTCCCTCACCTGTCTTTGTCTTTCTCTCTCTCTTTCTCTCTCTACCCCAACCCCACATTCACTTTCTCAGCATATCTCACAGAATAGGTTTGGACCCATTCTCCCTGCACTGTCCTTACTTTGACCTCTGCTCCACACCCATGCTGTAGCATGTTGCTACAGCAGCTCCTGACTAGAACCCAGGCTTCTTTCCTTCAGTAAAGGAAATACTCAATACAGGCAGGCAGAATGGTCTTGCCAAAATGAAAGTTCATGCATCTCCTCGGATCAGATGGATATAATGCCTTCCTATATTTCTTAAAAAGCCAAGTCCTTGCCATGACCTATGAGGACAATGTCTTCTTGATGCATTACTCAATTCAGGATTGAATTATTTTGTCCCTTCCTCTCAGAATTATAGCAAGCTCTCCTATGGTAAATGTGCTCATATTGGTGTCTCTCTCCTGCTCTGGTCTCCCTGAAATCTTCTGTAGCAACCTGTATGACTTGTTCCTCACCTCCTCATCTTCACTCAAATGCCAGGCTTTCCATGTCTATACTGAGTTTCATCATCCCTACTACTAACTCAGATCCCCTCCTTTATTTTTCCTTATTGAATTTATCCTTTCTTCTTTGTGCTATTTCTTGCCTGAGTCCACACTACACTAAAATATAAGCTTCAAGAGAACAGTGACTTCTATGTTGTGAATGGTTTTACCTATATGGACTAGAATACTGAATGTGATATATGTGTTTGCAAAATAAGGCTAAGTGAAATGATGAGGCAAAAAGACTTCAGATACTACTATTACAGCACTAAGGAATACCTAGGGGTTTTTTTTTGACTTGGGGAAAATTTTCAATTAATCTGTTTAAATAACTAATATTTTCCCTTACAATGGCCTGTCATC